CGCAGGAAATTATATCACATAAATACAGCATGATTTTATTATGAACTATTTTACTGTGATGTCTGGTAAATACACACTGTGTTGTAATGCCAAAATCTTAGGTGAATATGCACCTTGCTTTTTTCTTCTTTGATATGACCCATGATTAGCACATCCTATACAGAATTATTAATGTGGAACTATTTTCTATTGTCTATTGATCAATGCATTAATTCAGGATTTCTTCAACAGTCAGCATGTACTGCCATCTTCAGGAGGATAGGACACTGGCAAACAAGCAAGTTCTACTGAAAAAAAAGTCTATCAATAATTTTGCTAGAGATTTTTTTTCTCTATTGACTATAATCAAGTTTCTCCATACATATATATTTTTTCTTTGTTGACTTCCACATTTCTGCTTGAGCTAGTCCCTATATACCAGCTATCTAGTTCAACCTATTCTCAGCAGCAGTTTTGGAGGTAATACCCAATGTGATCTTTAGACACTGAGCTCTACATTGTGGCATTTTCAAGACCTGTGTGTACAGTGTTAGCAGAGCACTTTCTGGGTTCAGCGCCGAGGCACAGTCTCTGGTGTGACCCAGTCTCTGAAGATTCATGTAGTGTATAAGGTCAGTTGTGTGTGGGGGGGGGGGGGGGGGGGAGGGCAGCTGTCCATCTACTAGCTTGGAGAAGGGAGGAAGGCAGAGCAGGGGACAGAAATTAGGGGAGTGGCCTTCCTTGCAGTGTTTGTGGAAACACATACAGCTTACAAGCACGCAGACAAGGGTGGTTCCAAAGGAACCTTGCAAGAGAAAGGAGCCACCCTGAAACAGGATGTCAGGGCCAGTGCTGATCCTGCAGGAAAAGTTTAAAACCAATTTGACTTTAATTTTACTTTTGCCATTCCTCTAGAAGGTCTGGAAACAACTTTTATGATTCTAGGCCCCTCCTGAGAATGTGTTAGAGCTTTTTCCTTTTGAAAGGCAATTTATTGTTATTTGGCATCTATCTATTGTAGACACTAAATCCACATTAACTAAATGAGTTGATGGTGTTCTCACTTTTGGCATTTCACTGACAGACTCCTATGGAACATCGTGGAATGCTCAGGAGACCCCTTCTGAAGACAGACAGTTTCCTAAATTCTTGCAGTGCAACTGTGAACTGGATACAAATTATCAGATATCTAAGGCTAGTAAGCTTGGGTTATCATCTGGCCAGGTTCACTTCCGTGACCATGCGGCAATCGTGAACCAATCGGTCACTGAGTCGTACACCACCGCTGATCGCGCTGGCGGTGTCATTATTTTCTAATGGCACCCCAGTCGCACCAGGCAGATTGCGTGGTTTTTCCGCCGCGATTTCGCACGTGCAATCACGCACATGTATCTTTTTTCATTGATTGCCGTGCGGATGTAACCCCATTGAAATCAATAGGGCCGCATGGCAACCACTGTGTGCAACCTCATACAATCGCACGGTCCAGGGACACACGTCCCCGGGATCACCCAAATCTGCACCAGCCCTCAAGTGGAATTGTACAGCTCAAGTCCTCACTTAAACAGTCCACTCCCTGTGGACCTATAACCCCTTCCTGTTTCCTGTTGATTTCCCCCTCCTACTTGGGGGTTTGTGGGTTGTTAGGCAGTCCCCAGTTATCATTAGCTCTCCTTGTTGTGTAGGCTTTTAGTCCTTTGCAACCTTTACCTCTGGTTCAGGGAGTCTGAAATTTGAACAAGACAGCAATAGGGTTTCTTCATACGGGGCTGGGGTATGGTCCCTTTCCCCCACCCTTTGAGAACTTCCCTAACAGTGGTTCTTTAGGACACACAGTTCCTGAGTCGTCAGGGGTTCTCTGTTAGTTCGGTCTGTTGACATAAGCTCTTCTGGACAGCATTTGGATATTACAGGACTTTCGCCTCTAAAAAGGTGTGGGACCTCCCCCTGTGACAGACTGACTGTCCTGCTCCCATGTGATAGACAGCAATGAGTGAGCCATTCAAAACCACATGGTCTTCCTAGGAAACAAGAATTTGCCTTTGAGATCCCTCAAAAGATTCTTAGAATCATATATCCGCTAAGTGCTTAGGCAAATTTTCAGTGTGACTATTATACCCCAGAGACACTTATAGGTGTTGGCTGGAACACCCAACTCATTCTTCTGGTCCTGATGTTTTTGTACACCAGTTTGGGTTATGTTATATCCTTATCTCTGGCTACCCTTTGCTATGGGTTTGATTTATCCTCTCCATTGGTGGGATTCAGGGTTAGCAGCACCCTACATTTTGTTTCCACCATAAGGAAGGATCTTTCCCCTGTATGTCCATTGAGGGACACAGGTTCCACCCCTCTGTGTTATTGGCTCTTGGTTCTGCTTACTTGCAAACTGAGGCATGGTGTTTGAGTTTAACATTTTTTGCTTGCCAGTGTCTCAACCTCCTAAAGGTGGCAGTATAAACCGACTGTCCCTCCAAGGACTTCAAGAAAAAGTAAGTACAAAAAATCCTATTATTTATTGTACACGCTTTTTCAGTGTTGCTACAGTCAGCTGTGAAATATTTGCTATCCCGATTCTACTTAGGAATCCTGTGGAGAGAGATAGTTCACCAATTTTCCTCTAACCACAGTAATAGCACAACTTAACTTTGTTGCCACTGACAACAGTATTACAGCACAAAGTATAGTACTACTGTGTTTCCTTTCCCTGGGAACCTATTGCTAGCTTTGCACCTTCCTGTGGTAAATTGCGAGTTGTTTGTTTAGCGAGTGAGCGAGTTGTTTGTTTAGAAGCCCAGATTCTGGATCTAAGCAACAAACTGGCAACACTGAGGAGAATAACAGTCATGGAAAAGAGCCTGGACTTAACGCACCAGGCTGTGATAGAGGGGGGTCTGGATGAGGAGGGGTGGTCGGAGGAGCACGATCCCGAGGTGGGGAGCTGGGTCACTGTAAGAAGGCGGGGGAGAGGGAAGAGCGCGAGAGAGGTCAGCCCTGATCTGATTAACCCCAATAAATTTGCCAAGTTGCAGCATGTTGGGGATATCAGTTCAGGGGGGACTCTGCTGGAGCAGGACGCCTCCACTATCCGCAGGGGGAGTGACTGCTCTGGCGAGGATGGGAGCCGGATGGAGGGTCAGGAGAGGCAGATCCTGGTGGTTGGAGATTCCATCATCAGGCGGACTGACAGGGTAATCTGTCATCGGAACCGTGAGTGTCGAACAGTGTGCTGCTTACCGGGGGCGCGTGTTCGACACATTGCGGAACAAATTCACAGATTACTGGATGGGGTTGGGCACGGCCCCGTTGTCATGGTGCACATCGGCACCAATGACAAAATAGGAGGAAATTGGAGTGTCTAAAACTCCCTAAAACAGGAGTTTATAAAATATAAGATAGAGGGGACGGCATTGGCGTTCCATAACTACAAAGAAAGCAATAAAAAATGCAAACTAGCAATACGGGCGGCTAAAATAGAGTGTGAAAGACATATTGCCATATATAGTTTTAAAAAAAACCAAAAATTTTACCAATATATAAACAGTAAAAAGGTGAGAAAGGAGCAGATAGGCCCAATAAAGGATGAAAGAGGGAAGTTAGTCACAAATGACAAGGAGAGGGCCGAAGTACTGAACTCTTTTTTCTCCTCAGTATACACTCAGGAGGGAAACGGGTTTGACGCCTACGATAAAACCCTTAGTTCATCACAGAATATAGCCAAGTGGTTGAAAGAACCCAGCATACAACAAAGGCTTAGTCTACTTAATGCGAATAAAGCAGTGGGACCGGATAATCTGCACCCCAAGATACTTAGCGCGGTTATAACTAAACCATTATTCATCATTTTTAAAGGACTCACTAATGACGGGTAGAGTTCCGAGTGACTGGCGGAGGGCTACGGTAGTTCCAATTTTCAAAAAGTGGGCAAGATGCCAACCTGGGAATTACAGACCAGTTAGTCTTACATCGGTAGTTTGTAAACTGTTAGAGGGAATGATTAAGGACTATTTAGTAGAATTTGTTCGGGATAATGGTATAGTTAGCGATAATCAGCATGGGTTTAGGAAAGACCCTTCCTGTCAGACAAATCTACTGACTTTTTACATGTAAGGAGATTAAGGGGGGAAATGATTTTCATGTACAAAATGTTCCATAGTCATAGCGATATTAGCAACAAACTCTTCAAGATTAATTCCATAACAAAGACTAGAGGACACCACCTGAAACTGGTAGAAAAAAAATTCAAACACAAAGGGCGAAGGGGGTTCTTCTCAGTTTGCGCGGTTAGGGTCTGGAACTCGTTGCCACAAGCAGTGATTTCAGCTAATAGTGTGAATTTGTTCAAGAAGCATTTGGACGATTTCCTGAGAAACGGTAACATACAGGGGTACAGATACTCCTAAAAACGAGATGACACAGGGACCCATACACACACACACACACACACACAATAGGTTGGACTTGATGGACATATGTCTTTATTCAACCTCAAATACTATGTAACTATGTATGTAAATTCCATTTATTTTACTGCACAAAACAGGAACATATTTTTTGTGTGTTCAGTTCACATTATCGCACTGCAAGCAAACCCCCTAATATTTTTGTGCAGTTATTTATTCCAAATTGGTAATCCCCAAAACCAAATGCAGAATGCAGTTTTGCATGTTTTAGCATATAATACTGTTTTCTTTATTAATTCACTAATTTATTTTGGATGATGTTTCACCCTTCCCTAAAGAAGGACATACAAAGCTCATACCAAGCTTAATTAATAAAAAGTCCAATCTTAATATGCAAAGTGCATTAACACAAAGCAAACAGTGAAAAATATTTGTCTGATGCAGATTGAGCGTGCTGCATGACCAAGGTACTGCTTTAAGCAGTAATGTTAAACTTAAGGTAATGGTTTACTATATCTTTTTTCATTTGGTACTTTAAAAGCTGACTCTTGTGTTTGAAGTAGAAGAACAATCTGACTTTTACTGGTTACAATGATGTGATGGTTATCTTATTTACAGATGTTGGACTGGAGTAATATGAGTGTCTACCTTTTTCTCGCTGTTACTCTATTGCAGTGGACTGGCTTCACTAAGGCTTCAACAGAGGTAAGGCAGTAAGTACTAAAGAACATGTTTTTATTACTTGAAATAATTTCTTGCACATCATTTCTATATAATTAACAGATGTTAGAGTCACACTCAGGGCCCCACCATCTTCTTATCAGACAAAGTGCAGTAATTCTTTTTGCCCACTTCCCTTGACCTAACAGATGCCATTTTTCATCTCTTCAGATGCATAGTTATTAAGATCTGGCACCTGGGTTTTCCCATGTTTGTTTACATCCCATAACAAAGCCCACTTCGCTGGTTGCCCAGAGCAATAGAGCCCAATAGAAGTCCCAGCTGGGAGACAGAAGTAGACGAACCCCACAGAAGTCTATGGGGCACTGTTGCTCAGGCGCAGCCATTATTCAATAATGTTTGATTTCTTCACAAAGCTTAAAAATATTCCCACTGTACTTTAGGCCACCCTTGCCAATGTCAGCACTACATGTTATGATAGTCACCTGACACCAGGCTGCATTTTGTCAATGGCCAATTGTAGACAGGGGAGGAGACCTGTTTGAAGTGGTGGCTACTTTACACACACAGGGACTATGGGGAACAAAAGTATTCCACTCTCCAGAAGGAAGCACAGTGTCAGCATGAATTCAGAGATGATTTGAGGATATACATCTATACACTAATAAGCTACATTTTTCTTAATAGTTAAGGTACTTGAAAGCATTTTTAAGATTTAACTCCTGAGTTTAGTGTCACTTTAATTCTCACACTGCATGTAATGAGGCTTTAGGCACAGGAGTGCCTAGGCACCCTCATATTCCAGGAAATGCACTGCAATTTTTCGGGAGGAATTCAAGACAATGGGTACCTTTTGTCTCGATAAGCATCCAATTAAAGAGTCAGTTCTTAGAGTTCAACATATTTTTGATTCTGATTTTATTATCATACATGGTGTGCTTTATATTACAGAGATTTGACTCTCCTATTGTTTTGGATGTCGGACTGCGATCCGTATCGAATGAAGAGAAATCAGCTGATCTGGCAGCTAAACTTTTACTATTAGATGAGCTGGTCTCTCTTGAAAATGATGTGATTGAGACTAAGAAAAAGAGAAGCTTTTCTGGTTTTGGGTCTCCTCTGGACAGGATATCTGCAGGTACCAGTGAAATAAAAGGAAAGCAAAGGTAAGTTACATTTCTCAATAAAGGAAGTTTTAATGTTTAATTTAACTGATGTCATGTTCACATATAACACCACAGATTTTACCATCCTAAATCCATTGTAATATTATATTAAATAAAACAGCGCTTTGTACTAATAATCATACAAAACAGCTCTAGTATATTCAGTATTAAAATCATTACAAACCAGCACTAAAATGTTGCATATGAAAGGTTTTGCCAGAACTATGAAAGAACAAAGTTATCATTCTTCTAAATGAAACAGGTAAGCATATATTAGAATCCAATATCTGTAGCCCACATCACAGTTTGTGAGGTGGCTACTAGAAATTTAGTGATTGCCAGAGCTGTAGTCAGTCTGGTTGGATTATAGTTGGCATTTATCTGGTTAATTCTGGGTGTTCTGGCATTGATTGTACCTACCTGGGTGGAGTGTGACTCTACTGTAGTGTGGGACATCCAATGAGGGACAATGTTAGTGTGTCTGCAGTTCACCAGTCAATCACTGGGTCTCTCTCAACCAGTGTTGCAAGCTGGGTAAATGCTTATATACTCCAGGGACTTGCCATGTGCTCAGTTCTAGTTCGGGCTCCAGCCATGGATTAGTCCAGGTTGGGGTGTTGTCCAACCACCCCCCAGGCAAGGCCTGAGGGTGAGAATGCTGGAGTTCGGGAAGTGTTTCACTAGGCCTCAAGTATTGAAGAGGTCTGTCCTGTTGTCAGAGGAGGAGAACCTGGAAAGCTGATGGCTGCTGGAGGTACCCAAAACATAGTGGACTTCAGGAGCAAGTCTAGTGTCTCTCTCCTGCTAAGGATCTGTGCTCATCCCTGCTCATCTGCTAATCAATTTTCTATTCAACTCTGCTACCAATGGATCTACACTGAGATGCTAAAAATGGACTGGTGAGTCTGGAGTCTGTCTGTACTACCTTGGATGTCTAGGATCCCTATATCCTCTCTACCCAGTGTGAAGGTATTAACAAAAAGTTATTCAGCATTGTACTTCTGGTTTGGATATCAGCTTTGTGGGCACTAGAAGAGGGCGGCTAATGCTAATGGGGCAACAGAATACTAAAACACCTAGACAAACTAGTGATGATCCGAGTTATTCTGGCGGCTCCTTCGGGGGTGAGCGCTATATCTCATTTCCAGATTTTTCACAGTTTATCCAAACTCCCTTTGGAAGTAATGTGAATTTCTTAGACCCAACTGACCATGACCATGTGTATCTAACACCAAAAATGCAAAGAATCTACTCACCATATGAAGTTAGGCAACACTTTTCAGAAGGTCTAATTGCATATCGATATTGTTATCAATAATATTATTATTATTATTATTATTATAATACAGGATTTATATAGCACCAAGTGTTTACAAAATGGAGGGAGACAGTACAGATACAATCCAATTTCAATACTGGAGGGTTAGGAGGGACCTGCTCATAAGAGTTTAAATCTAGTTAGATAGCTAGTAGATATACAGTACTTTAAAGAGAAACATAGAGTATTGCAGCATCTCTAAGAAGACCGTTGGTCTTTTTCACACCACTCCTGACCTTACTTTTACTGAGTGGTATAAAAAAGACTAGAGGTCTGGAGATAACAATGATCAGAGATACTGCAATCCTCCATGTTCCTTTTCAGATGATATTAATGTGGATACACATCGTCAGACATTGGTTGGGTTTTAAGAAATCCACAATAGTGTCACACTGAACTGAAAGAATCTGAAAATGAGACATGTATATTCTATTCAATATGCTTGCCTTTTTCATTTAAAAGAATAGCATGTTTTCTGCCATAGTCCTGGCCATACATTTACTATGTGATATTTTAGAGCAGATGTGTAGAGACTGTATTACTGAACACCCTAGAGCTGTTTTGTATGATTAATATGCTGTGATGCTTTGATGTTGTGAAACCAATGTATTTAAAGCTGCTAGTGCTACATAATTTATACGCATAGGACTGGTCAATTTAATCTTTGAAAGTGCAACAATTATATTTTATTTTTAAATCTTGTGTTAACCTACTGTATGATGTCCAAAAACAAATTGCTGTAAAACCTGATTCTCATCTGGTGAACAAGTGATTGCCTTCCTCTCCCACTTCCTCAATGGAAACCTAAATATAAAGGCTATAGGGTTAACCCATACAGGCCGAGAGCTTGTGTCAGAATCTCAGCATTAGCCAAAGTGTTAAATGTTCTGTCAAGGGAGAAATGCTGACTCAGGGGAACAATATACTGTAGGTATATGGAGTCATCATCTGCACCGCCCAAAGACACAAGAATTGACTAAAAAAAAATGGAGCCCTTATGAACAGCTATTAATACTTATTTCAGATGTAGAAATATTCTCATTACTTGCTTTGTGTAATAGTTTTGGTTTTGCTCCAGTTTTCCTTCAAGTTTCATAAAAATCAGCCCCACTGGAGATCACTTTTTTATTATCATTTTAATGCTTGGGAGTGTTGGACCATCTTCTTCAGTACATACCTTTTCAGTCCAAAGAGTAAGCTTGTACCAATAACATATACTAAACCTATTTTGACCCTAGGGTATACCAGAACTACCTTCACTAACCTGAATTTTTATCTTGAAACTGATGTAAACTGTCCCTGCAAAACTTGTCCTATGCTGTCTTAGCTCTTAGTATATTTTCTTTTCAGGTTGAATGCATGGTGATATAATACTCCATTATGGCCACTAGAGGGAAAGGAAAAGCATAAGAAAGAAATACTTTTTCCAATGCTCTCAGCTCCATCTAGTGGTCATGGAAAGGACCCTGCAAATTATTTATAAATATACCCCCAAGTAAAAGAAATTCACTCCAATGTGAGAGGATTCCTTTTTAGACAATTTTTACATGAAGATGTGCCCCCATTAGAAGATTAGTTGCAGTGGCCACCAGGACAAGCAGAGAGGTTTACGCCTCCCATCATGGACACAGGCAGCAATAAAAAATTAGAAAAAGGTTTTAACCCTTTTCTACTCTATTGAAAACTAGTAAAAATGTTTGGCTCTATACATACACTTTGCATTTGTCTTGTTCTTTGTTCTAATGAGCATGTAAAAAAAAGTAACAAGTTACTATTTCCCATAAAGGCATTCCAGATAACACCTATTATCCTTACATTTATCTGAGCCATCTATATTGTAGGTCAGACGTTTTTGTGGTTTGGTACAAGGATAGATGATAACGAATGCAGCTGCTTTACTGAATGGATTCTGTTCCACGAGTCATCAAACAGCACAGACAGTTTAAGCTTATAAATGTTGGTTTAAACAACATCATTTATGTAATGTCTCTGGTGTGCTTTCACTAACTTTTGCAAAATCCGTTGTAGCTAAAATGAAAGCTTTATTTTCTGAAAGAACACCATGACCACAGGCTGTAAAAAGATCACAGCTTGAGGGATCACTCTGTCCTTGCTAAAAAAGAGATGAAAAGTTTGTTTGTTAAATGCATTTCATATGTTCAGTTCACTAGCTTGCACTGCTCGCCAGATGTCATGTACAGTACATTCTGCTTCTCATTCTTTCCAAGATGACATCAAATCCTCAGTACACCTGTTTTCCTAGTCATTTATGATATGAACAAACGACTGCATACAGTTTTAGCTAGCAGCAGGCAGTTGTTTGTTAAGAATCAAAAATTCTCAAGAAACAACCAATGTTTAAAGCTGAAATCAAAGTAAAAGCTGCTAAAGGATATGTAATTCTGTCTGGCCACTTTTCTGATCCATACATCTCTGCTGTTCAGCACAGTGGAGCTTTCTCTGCAAAGTGGCACTTTAATGAAATAATTACAGGGGCTGCCATTCTGGGTCGCCTTCTAAAATGTTTGTTGCCTGGCTATGTCTTCCTTTCCACTGTGGCCTGGCTATGTCTTGCATACAGTAGGTTTTGAGTGACCGAAAGGTTTTCGAATTTCATATCTATACTTGTTCCTGGTCATTGACTTAGGAAGTATTCATAAGGCATCTAGCATTTTTACAAGGATTGGTCAGTAATGGTAGCCTCCATGATTCTCTCATGACAGATTTCAATAAGGTCCCAGTCATACTATGCATCCCTATGCAGTAAAATGTGGGTTTTACTGTTCCTAACTGGGCTTTTCTGAACACCCCACCTGCAAGGTACCAACCCAATGTTGAAAGGCATGTAGTCTGGTCTGGAACAGGAAAGGTGTGGGGCACACACTTGCCCTCTTGCCCTCTCTTTTCTGGCCACCCAGGCTACATGCATGGATATAGGTCCAGGGGGCATTTAAGGGGGAACTCCACACTGTTTTTCTTTCCCTTTTTGACTGTCACTTAAAAAAAATTGTGAAAATCCCCTTAAAATTGTTATCTAGGCATGCAGCCTGAGTAGTCATGTAAGAGAGGGCAGTGAATGGTCAGTCCCTCCACCCCCTTTTTTTTTTTTATCAGACCAGGTCATATGCCTTTCAACATAGGTGCGGGGTACCTTGCAAGGTTTGGAGGTGGCAAAATCTACAGCCCCTCCTTTCCTTGCCAGGCACTCAGATCATATCTGTTCCCTCCCAGGAAATTGCATACAGGGGTACATTAGTACCTCTTCCCACAAACAGTTACATTTAAATAAACACACACATCTTGAAAAAGTCCTATCACAACATTAAAAATTGTTATAAATGTCCCCTGATATAATCCAGCATCAATCATGATGTTCAACTCAAACCTTAATCTCACCTGATCCACATGCTTATTCTAGGTGCGTGTTATGGAAAGTATTATAGAGTCAATAATTTAACATGTTCAGAAAGTCAGCAGTAGTAGCCTCTGTATGTTTCAGAAGACAGGTTTTCTTTCATAAAATAGCTTGGTTGTATTAACATTTAATTATGAGCCTTTGCCACAAGAGGGCACCAACAATCAAGTTATTGCATGAGGATAGCTTAGCATTTGTGATGTAGCAGGTTTGGTAAAGAAAAAAGTACAAACGTGTATAGTTATTACAGGATAATGTTGGGCCTGA